CCCAAAGCCCAGGTGAGTGGAGGGCCCTGGGAGGCGAATGAGGGAGTGAGGCGCGGTGTGGGGCCCGCCAGCCCCTCCATCTGGCTTCTCCTGCCCCTGAGGAGGCTGGCTCGGTGCGGCGGGCGGACAGGAAGCTGCGCGGACAGGCAAGCTGCGGCCTGGGGGCTGTGAGGGTTCCGCGATCTCACGCCCAGGCTCTTGTTCCCCAGGAGCTGTGCCCCGTGCCCTGGTGGCCTGGCGGGCGCTGGGGCCACAGCTCCTCAGCTCCTCCAGTGAACTGATGGCTCGCCCTTTGCCCCCGGTACCACTCGCTCCCCGTGGGCCCCCCACCCAGAGTCAACAGACCCAGTAAGAGGGCCTGGGGTCGGGAAGCAGGGCGGGGCACTGGGGATGCGGGAGGTGCTTGCTGGGCGGGGCTGGGGGAGGGGTGGCAGGGACGGGAAGAACTGCGCTAACCATCCCGCTGTCTTACCCCAAACAGGCGCTCGGCGGAGCCCCCAGCCCCCACCTCCTCTCCACCGCCAGCAGCCCCCATCCCCGCCCTCATTCCCTCCGGTGCCCTCCGCCCTTCCAGCCTCCAGGCCTCCTCCCTCTCTGGTCCCAGCCCAGCGTCCAGCCGCCTGTCCAGCTCGTCGCTGTCGTCCCTGGGGGAGGATCAGGACAGCGTGCTGACCCCTGAGGAGGTGGCCCTGTGCCTGGAGCTCAGTGAGGGTGAGGAGACCCCCAGGTGAGTGGCCGGAGGGGAGCCAGAGGACACAGGTACGCGGGAGACAGAGGCGTGCTCACCTCTCCCGCCTCCACCTCCACACTGGACTGTTTCTGCCCCTCCACGCCCTGCCCCCGCCCAACAGCACGCCATCTCCCCTTTGACCGCTTCCTAGGAACAGCGTCTCTCCGATGCCAAGGGCGCCCTCCCCTCCCATCACCTATGGCTACATCAGCGTCCCCACGGCCTCGGACCTCGCGGACATGGGCAGGCCTGGAGGAGGAGTGGGGTCCGAGGTGAGGGGCTTGCTGTGCCCACCTCGGCCCTGCCTCACCCCCACCCCCAGCGAGGGCTCCTTGGCCAACGGCTGGGGCTCAGCCTCAGAGGACAACGGCCCCAGCGCCAGAGCCAGCCTGGTCAGCTCCTCTGACGGCTCCTTCCTCGCTGACGCCCACTTCGCCCGGGCCCTGGCCGTGGCAGCGGACAGCTTTGGCTTTGGTCTGGAGCCCAGGGAGGCAGACTGCGTCTTCACGGGTACGTGAGATCACTGTTTCAACTCCCACCCCCCGGGAGGGGACACAGCTTCTCCCCAACCGAGAGTCAAGCATCCTCACCATCGTCACTGTGTCCCAGCCCCCATGGAAAGCACCTTACATACGTTCAGCATTAGCAGCAGCTCTCTGAGGAATATTCTTTATCATTCTTTTCCAAATGAGGGAGCTGTAAGTCCCATAGATTTATTAACTTGCCCAAGATCACCCAGAACAAGGATAAACTGTGCAAGTTAAAAGCCCAGAGGCAAGGACTTCCCTGGTGGTCAAGTGGCTAAGACTCCATAATCCCTATGCAGGGGGCCCAAGTTCAAAACCTGGTCAGGGAACTAAATCCCGTATCCCAACACTAAGATCTGGCACAGCCAAATAAATAAATATTTTTTTAAAAAGGCCCAGAGGCAGCCAATTATATGGTCCATTCTGCTACCTCCAGGACCTTCCTCTTACCAAATGTGGGGTGCAGGAAAGGTTGCCCTCCCCAGCCCAGTGACAGATTCATCCACTGTGGGAAGTTCTGTTCTGTCTCTTACATCCCCCTGAGCTGTCAAAGCCTTCTTCCTCTGCCATCTATGGCCAGATGAGGCAAGACTGGGCTTCCTGTTTCATGTGTCTAGCAGGTTGGGACCATCATTCCTGAGTCAACGGCAGGTAGTGAGGGCTCCTCCAGCCCCTTCGGTGTTCCCTTCCTTGGACATATCCCCAAGACCTAGTTTTCAAACCTTAACTCTACATTCTTCCCCCTAAAAAAGCAGTCAGGATTGTGGCAAATGGGAGAGCAGGAATTACCTAGGACAGAAAGCCAAGGCCAAGCTGGGAAGAGGGAATTCAAGCTGTTCTCTCGATGAGATCAATGAACATCTTCCTCTCCTTGGGGTGAAGGACCCTGGGGATGTGGCCACTGGGTTGATGGACTGAGTAGGACTGGGTTATGTCTACGGTCAGGTGTATGCCTGAAGCAGCCCCACGCCTTCTGCCCTAAACTGGTCCCCAAGGGTGAAGGCCAACCCTCCACAGACATCTATCTCTACCCTCCCTAACAGATGCTTCATCCCCTCCCTCGCCCCGGGATGACCTCTCCCTGACTTCTACCCTTTCCCTGACCCCGTGGGAGTGGAGGTCAGACTGGTTGGAGGACATTGAGAAAAATCCCACCCAGTGGCTGGGAAGGGGGCTGCCTCCCTGGCCACCTGAATCTCGGCTCTCTTCCCAGAAAAGTCAGCTCAGCTCTCCTGTGCCCAAAGCTGGCGGTAAGTGTCTGGTTGGCTGATGCAGCGATCCATCTTGACCGGAGGGGTTTTGTTGCGGTTGGGGGCAGCCAAGAGGGGTCCAGAAAGAGCGATAAGGAACAGGGGGGGGATAACTCCACCCTCCTTCAACTTCTCCTAGACTCCTGAACTGACCGCCTGACCGCCAAGATGAGAACCAGCCCTTCCTCTCCCATCAGCCACTGGCCGGGGCTGTGGACTGCGGGTCTTGGCTTCACTGCAGCTGGGGGGGTCCACCTTGTCTGGCCTCTGGCATTCTCCCTCCCAGATGGTGGGAACAAACGAAAGCAAAACAAAATAAGAACAGAGTGGACCTGCAGCCTCCAGAAGCAAAATGTCAGCTCCACCTGGCTTGCAGCCCTTGCCTTTCCCTCTGCTCCATCCATGCCCACAGTCAGGTCATTTTGGCCTGAGAGGCAGCCCTAAATCCTGTGTGTTCCCTGCCCCACCCCTGCTTGGGTCACAGGAAGTGGGGGACCCGGACGTCTTCCTGGAGGACAGCGCTGGCTCATGGGAAGGGACTGCGGAGGAGGGAGCGTCTCGGGGCCTCCTCTCAGCCTTTTCCAGTCCATTCCTGGCTCGCCCCAACCACCAACCACACTGTGAAGGGACACAAAGAGGGGCTCCACTGAGGCAGTGAGGCCCGACCTTGACACCAGGGCAAAGGGCTCAAGATGGATCGAGGGAGGAAGCTGAAGTGGGACAAACGTGGGACGAATGCACCCTCCTGATACTGTTGTCACTATGAGTTGTCACTGAGGGATTTGATACCATAAAGCTGTGATGACTTGAGTTCTGTGAGATCACTCCGTGAAGCACCATATCCTGCAGAGGGCACCTGGGTTAGGACAGCATCAGGCATTCACTGATCCTCCGGTGTTACTCTTTCTGTTCTGTTATCAAGGGGAGAATTACCTGCATCTTTCAGATTTTAAGCAGAATCCAGAAAAGGCCGCAATGGGGGTGTTTCTGGGTTCTGCAGGTCTTAGCAACTCGTCCCGTGAAGATGATTTCTGCTCTCACCAATCCCAGCCCCCAAGACCAGTCCTAGATAGTTTCTTAAAATGAAGTAGCTCCATTTCACGAAAGGTAGGAACCACCTGTCGTGGTTGGCTGGTGGGCACCCTTCAGACAAAGAACAGGACAGAGAAATGGAGGAGGAGCAGGACCTGCAGAGCCTGAGCCACAGAAAACCACCGCAGGCCAGGCAGGGCTTTATCCTCCTCACTTGGCAGGGAAGGTCGGGGGCAGGATCCACACACTGCGAGGATACTACTCAGCATGACCAGGGTTGTGATCTCAGGATGAGGACTCAGTGCCCTGCCGGATACACATCCGTTCCACTCTGCCTGCTTTTCCTTTTTAGGATTTTGTTTTAGTTTCCTGGTCAAACCCCTCTTGAAAACATGCCAACTTCATATGCCAGAGCAAATGAGAAAAAGAGATTTGTACGCACTTTGGTCTAAGTGGCAGAGAAGGTCAGAGCCTGGGGTTGGGGCTCAGTCGTCATTCCCTGAGAGCCCTGGGCAGTCACTGAGCAATACCCAGGTCTACACAGTGAGTGGTGTGGGCCGTGGGATCAGGAGTGATGGCGACTATGGCATTCGTGGCCAAAATTTTCTTTTGATTTTTTAAAAAAAAGTTATTTAGATCTACTTCCCCAAGCAGGGATCGAACCCCAGCCCCCTGCATTGGGAGAGTGGAGTCTTCGCCACTGGAACACCAGGGAAGTCCTGTGACCAAATTTTTTTTAAAAAACTTCTCTGCCAGCCTAACCAATTATTATGTAATAGGCTCTTATGAGCCTAATCTGGCTAATCGGGCTTTCCAGGTGGCACTAGTGGTAAAGAACCCCCCTGCCAATGCAGGGGACTCGAGACGGTGTGATGGCTGGGTCGAGAAGATCCCCTAGAGGAGGGCATGGCAACCCACTGCAGTATTCTTGCCTGGAGAATCCCACGGACAGAGGAGCCTGGTGGCCTACAGTTAACAGGGTTGCAAAGAGTCAGACACAACTGAAGCAACTTAGCACGCTAATCAGGCTAAGAAGTGGCCTTCTGCACCTCTGTGAAAGGGTGGGGATGGGTGTCTGAAAAAGCCTCTTTCTCCTTCTTGGCCAGGACTCCCCCCTTGAACTTGTCCTTTCTCTGAGTTTTGAAAGATCGCTGTTGTTGTAAAGGGTGTATTTCCGAATTGTGGAGGAGGGCACCGAGAGAGGGGCTCTGGGACCGTTGGACAAGTTTCTCGAGGTTGGGTTTGTGGAAGGTCCCTCTGGTGATAATTGGGGAGACAGTGGTTCAGCTCCTTCTGGAGGTAGGACAGGTGGCATCTCAGCCCTGCCCTCACCTAGTGCTTTCGACTGAAGAAGTTCAGAGGATACACACCCACTTGCAGCCCCCCTCCTCCCTACGTCCTGCACAAAACCTGACAAACAGGGCTCAGGGCTCTGATCCGTTCTTTTTATTGTGTTTTTTTATGAAGGGTCTCAGATGGCAAGGAAAGATCTGGCTCTCTGGCTTCTAAGCCAATTCCTCAGGGAGCCCCAGGCATCATGGCAAGAAGGAGGAGACCCCCTCCTCGCTCCTCTCTGCTCAGCCCTCATTCACCAGGGGGAGGGGCTCACGTGCAGATTCCTGGCCCAGGGACAAGCCCTTCCCGGTGGAACTTCTGGCTTATCGTCAAAGGTCATCTTGGTTCCTAGAGAAAGAGAGAGAGGCTGGCTTGCAAGGCTGTGGCCCAGGGCCAACAGGCCCCAGTGGGGATGTGCCTCTTCTCTGGTCAGTTCCTCTCCTGATCCTGCTCCCCTGTGGAGCCCAGGCCCCTCTGTTAGGTCATCTGTGTCCATCCTTTGTCACCTCTGCTCCGGGCTCCTCCTTTCCTCCTTACTCACAGGATCCCTTCCTTTGACACTCCCCCACCCCACCCCAAGCCCTTGATACCTTCCTATTTGTAATTGTCCCTTGGCCCAACCTCCCTAGCCCTCCACTCTCATTTTTTGGCCAGCCCTGGCCCCCACCTCTCCACGCTTTTGTCCGGGCCTTTGGCTCTGACTCCGGCTCCGGCTCCGGCCAGGGCCCCGGGATCCCCGAGAGCTGCCGGAGCCTCTGGAGGAGTTGCTGCCCGCTGTGGAACAGGTGCTTGTGCCCTGGCCCCGGGACAGGAAGCTCGGTCGACTGTAGGGGAGCCAGGCTTCTTCTGCAGCAGGAGACAGAAGGGCAGCTGGACTCAGGCAGGGGCCCGAACAGGGCTGCCTCCCCCTGCCTCGTGCCGCCCTGACCGCCACCCCAGCTCTGGAAGAAGAGCGGAGGGCGGACCATCCTGGGAATTGAGAAGCAGCAGCAGCCGGCCCAGCCCGTGGCCCTGACGTAACACGTGCTCAGAAGCCTGCAGGGAGCCCCCCATGAAGAGAGGGCCTTGGGAAAGGAGGGACAGAGCGCCCAGCCCCCACTCTGCACCTGGGCTCCAGTCCTGGGGAAGGATATGATTTGGGAACTGGAGGAATTTCTGCCCAGAGAAAGCTAGAGAGACAAGTGCCTTTGATGATGCTTGAACCCAGCTGGAGGTCAAGGGTGAGCTGGCTGGAAAATGAGCTCACCCTTGGCATCCTCCAAACACTAGGCTGCCATCCTAAAGCCCACCCTCTTTGTAGCCGTGGCCCGCCTTACCATCTGGGTGGGGGCGCCGCTGGCCCCCCAGGGGTGCGGCCTGCACCAGTCTCCTCTCCCCACTGTGCTCCCGCTCCCTTTCCAAGGAGGACATGCTGCCTGCTGCCCTCAGCCCCAAGGCCCAGCTTGCCTCTTCCTCTGGTGGCGGCAGGGGTGGCGGAGGCAGGTCTGGGGAGAGATCCACTGTCAGCAGGGTCCCCTGCTTCTCCTGACCCCAGTCTTTCTCCCCCTCCCGCTACCTGGCCCCGGGAGGCTGTGAAGGAACAGCCTGAGGTTTGGGTTCACTGGCTCCCTCCTCCAGCCTGTCCCCACTCCTGTCACCGTCTCCCAGGCTCACGGCCCCCTCACCTCCAGGGCTGTGCTCCCGCCTGTAGGGAAGAGCCTTGGGTTTCTTCCGGATTCGGGCGCGGGGCCCGTGCAACGGAGGAGTCAGCTCTCCAGGCACTGGCCGGGCTCTCCCTGCGGCATTGGGAGATGGGACGGGCGGATAAGAGAGGGGGTCAGGAAAGGGGCTTGAGGGTGAAGGGGAAACAAGCTTTCGAGAAGATGGGGAGGTGTGGGGCAAGCTGAGGGGTCTGCAGACTCACCGGGGGCACTGCCAGCTGTAGCAGGGATGGGGCTGGGGCTGTGATGGGGGCCGGAGGGAACAGCACCCAGGCCGGCGGGCCTCCCTTCGTGGCTACTCAGGGTGGGCTGGGAGACACTGAGAGGGGAGCTTGGCCCGAGGGGCACCCTCCTGCAATGACATGAGACTGCATTTGTTTGCTCAGCAAACACTTAAGTGCCTACTCTGTAGCAGGCACTGGGCTAATCAGTCAGCCTAATACTCAGATGAATAAGACACAGCATGCCCCCGACAAGGCTCCCACCCTAGTGCAGTATGAGGAAAGCCATCTCTGAAATGCCGCAGGAAGCTTGCAGGGTCACTCTGATGGAGAAAGTCTAAAGGGAGTGAGAGACTTTGTCTGTCTCCACATTTCTCCCCACGTCACACTTCCACCCAGATATGGTCATGAGACCTCAGGACCCCAGATTCATCCATCCATCCATGTGTTCATCCATCCATCCACACACTGAATAAATACGTACAGAGGGCTATAACATGCAAGGTACTATATACCTCCCTACCTGGGCATCTGGTGGAGATGGGGAAGGTCAGTAGGGGGCTGGGGAGGGTCAGGAGGTGAAGGGGTGAGAGTGGCTGTGGACTGCTGCCCATAGGAAGGTGTGGGAGAGGGGGTTTCTCCTCGGGACACAGGGACCAAGCACCCCCCACCGGAGCTGGGCTCTGCCGCATGGCTCCTCTCAGGCATCGGTGGGCACCACTCCTCTGGGTCTGAGCTGGGGGCAAAGAGGCAGGAGGGTAAGGATGACTGAGTAGCTTCATCCCCTCCATTGACCTTCCGTTGCCCCTTCCCTTCTTCTCCCAGCATTCTCTCCCTCCTTGCCCTGGCAGAACGCCCTGGGCTGGGCCCTGTGTACAGGCATCTGCAGGCAGCGAGCATCCTTACCTGCCCTGCAGCTCCTCCTCAGGCCCCTCTAGGCAGCTCAGTTCACAGGAGGGGGGCGGGGGAGGCAGGGCTTCTGGCCAGTTGAGAGAGGGCATCTGTACAGGCTTTCCCAGAAGCTTCACTTTGCCTCCCCTGGCTCCTGAGAACAAGATGGGGGTGCAAAAGATACAGGCAGGGAAGAGGCAGAGGTGAGACACATCAGAAGGAAGTGCTGCGCTAGGTCCCAGGGGAAGGGTGGGGGACGCTCTTGGGGAGCTGCTGCTCACGGCTCAAAAGGGGGCTGCTGGGAACTGGAGTCATACCACTGTCCCCCTGGCTCCATTCTGGGGGAGCATACGGGCTCCAGGTGCCTGGATCCCCTGAGGGATGTGGGGGGAACCCCCCGTGGAAGGTCTGCAGCTCCTCTCCGGCGGGGTCGATGCTGCTGTAGACAGGACCCTCAGCAGAGGCGGCTGTGCCCCGGGCCGTCTGAGCCAGGTAAAGGGAGATCCCTGCTTCTGAGCGGGAGAGAGCGGGAGGCCCAGGGGAGCAGACGGGGCAGAGACAGGAAAATACAGGATGACAGGAGAATGGAGGGCGAAAGGAGATCCCACTTCTTCCCCCACCTCAAGCTGGGGGTAAAGTTTGTGTGTGTATTAGTTGCTCAGCTGTGTCCAAATATTTGGGACTCCATGGACTGTAGGCCACCAGGCTTCTCTGTCCATGAAAGTCTCCAGGCAAGAATACTGGAGTGGAGAGCTATTCCCTTCTCCAGGGGATCTTCCTGACCCAGGGATCGAACCCAGGTCTCCCGAATTGCAGGTAGATTCTTTACCATCTGAGCCACCAGGGAAGCTGGTGATCTTCCCCAACCCCAAGCCAGGGTAAAGGTTAGGCACGAGAGAGTCTCCCCCAACTCCCAAGAGCCTCCCAAGGACGGAGCAGCCTCAGCAAGACGGGGACGCCCCGGCCCCCTTCAGTTTACCCCAGCAGTGGAGAGGAGAGGGGGTGTGGGGCCTCCTGCTGCTGCCCCCTCCCCAGAGGGAAGCAGCCCTCCTCACCATTGTAGTATCTGTCATCCGGGTCAGGGTTGCTCGGGCAGCAGCTTCCCCTGGGGTCCTGGGCTGAGGGGCTCCGAGATGAGTGAGGCCACGAGTCTGCCAGCCACGGGTAGGGAGCAGGGCCAAGGCCCATTGGTGGCCTGAGGGACAGCAGGTGAACACTGGGGTCAGAGAGCCCGCAGAGGCCAGCGAAGTAAGGGGGGCAGGGGTAACGGGAGCTGAGGACCGAAATGGGGGTGTGGGGGTGGAAGGAGGCAGAAGCTCAGCACCAGGAGGCAGACAGGTATGGGGACAGAGGGACTGGTCTCTTGGGGGAGGGGATCGTCCTTGGGAGCTGAGCTGAGAGAATTACCTGGAACTGGCCGCCGACAGGCCCTCTGAGTGTGGGAACGACACTGGGGAAGATGAGGGGGACACTGTGGGAAGTGCCCCTACCTGGGATCTGAACCCCACTCCTCACCCCGGAGGCAGAGCTAGATGTCTTACCTGCAGGTGTGTAGGCAAAAGAGGCTTCCAAAAAGGAACCCGTGGGAGAAAGAAGAGGTGAAATGGGAAGAAAAGTCAGAAATATCCATATTCCTGTTCACTCCCTGGCTCTGGTCTTAATTACGCCACTCGGACGGTACCCTGGACCAAGTTCATCGGGATTCCTAGAGCTTTGACTCAGGCATCAGTATTTTTCTAAAGCTCCCCAAGTGATTCCTGCATGTAGCCAAGACAGAACCTTTTGATCTAAGAGACCTCAGATCTTTCCAGACAGGCCCTATCCCAGGAAGAAGGAGAACTCAAGTCTCCTCCTTTCAGTGGGCCCCCCTCCCTTCCATCCAGACCCGCTTGACAATTTACCACGTGGGATCCTGGCCACACTCCCTCTTCCAGCCCCCAGGCTCCAGGAAGTGAGTTTCCCTCCGTCCACCAGACTTGCCCCTTCTCTACTGAAAGTGTTAGTCACTCAGTCGTGTCCGACTCTTTATGACCCCATGGACTGTAGCCTGCCAGGCTCTTCTGTCCATGGGGTTCTCCAGGCAAGAATACTGGAGTGGGTGGCCATGTCCTCCTCCAAGGCATCTTCCCAACCCAAGGATCGAACTCGCGTCTCTTACATTTCCTGCATTGGCAGGCAGGTTCTTTACCACTAGCGTCACCTGGGAAGCCCACTTGTCTACTGGGGCTGACTGCAGAGCTTGTTCTTCCACATACACCAGGAGTCTAAATGACAAAATCTCACCTCTCTCTGCAGACTCCGCCTGCTCTGGACTCCTTCCCCCCTGGACTCCAAAAGAAAGCTGAGCACCTAAGAATTGATGCTTTTGAACTGTGGTGTTGGAGAAGACTCTTGAGAGCTTCTTGGACTGCAAGGAGATCAAACGAGTCCATCCTAAAGGAAATCAGTCCTGAATGTTCACTGGAAGGATTGATGGTGAAGCTGAAACTCCAGTACTTTGACCACCTGATAAGAAGAACTGACTCATTTGAAAAGACCCTGATGCGGGGAAAGACTGAAGGCAGGAAGAGAAGGGGAGGATAGAGGATAAGATGGTTGGATGGCTTCACCGACTCGATGGACATGAGTTTGAGCAAGCTCGGGGAGTTGGTGATGGCCAGGGAAGCCTGGCGTGCTGCAGTCCATGGGGTCACGAAGAGTCGGACACAGCTGAGCGACTGAGCTGAACTGAACTCTCTTTCTCTCTTTCCATCCTCCGCGCCTCCCTCCCTGGGGGAGCGAGATCTCAAGGCTCCGCCCACCCCTCCTTTGAGTCTCCCAGCCGCCCGGGTACCCCCGGGCCGGGCTCTCACCCGTGTAGTGGCTGAGCTCCTTGCGCTGCCTTCGGCGCCGGTAGAGGGCGGCGCAAAGCCCGAGGAGCAGCGCCCCGCAGGCGGCGCCGCTGCCCGCGAGGAAGGCGGGCTCCCGCAGCACCCTCGCCAGCCGCTCCCCCAGCCCCGGGCCCGCCTCGAGCCCAGGTTCCAGCTCCGGCGGGGACGCTGCGGGGGTCAGAGAGGTGAGGGAAGTAGAGGCACCCCTACCTCAGGACACCCCCCACCCCACTCCCGAAACCCCAGCTCCTCCCTCCCACCCGCTCCGGACTCACGAAGCTGCACCGACACCGGGGCGCTGGCCACGCCCACGCCCGCGCTGGTGGCCGCAGCGACCTGGGTCCGGTAGAGGAGACCGGGCAGCAGTCCCCGCAGCACCGCCGAGCGCGCCCAGCCCGCCGCGGACCGGTTGAGATGAAAGCGGCTCTCGTTGCCCAGGCACCAGATCTGGGGAGGCCGAGACCCGGGCTTAGAGAGTCAGAGTGGATCTCTGAATGGTGGGAATGACGCCTCAGCCAGGCGTAATTCACTCGGAGAGAGCACTCTGAAACCTCTCTCCTCTACCCGGACCTGTCTCCAGTCCCAAAGCCAGCCCTAGGATCCCTCCTCCCTGATCCTAACCCCGAGGTCCTCCCTCTCCCTCCCCGCCAGCCGGCCCACCCAGGCCCTTCTCAACCCCTGCACCTGGTATTCCTCGATGACCCCATTTTGCTGCGAGGAGAGCGGAGGTTCCCAGGACACAGTGATACTGCTGTTGCCTTCACCCCCCAAGGCCACGGCCACTCCCTGGGGGGGACCACTGGGGGCTGGGCCAGGGTGGAGCATGGTGAGAAGGACACAGACAGTCATTGCAAGCTGCCCCTCCAGCCCCAACCTTGCTCATCCTCCCAGTTCTAACCTCTTAGGGAACTGAAAGGCGTGTCTCCTCCCCCCAACCCCCACCCCTTGCCCTCCCCAGGCAAACCTTCCTCCTCCCCCCTCTCTCTCTGCCCTCCTGTCCACCCATCAGCGCTGTGCCCCACTCCCTTACCCTCCTCAGGAATGCTCCTGGTCACCAAGGGGCTTTCAACCCCCAGCTCCTCCTGGCCTTGAGCTTGCACCTTGATCTGAACTTGGGTCCCTGGGGGGAGTCCCCTTAGCACAGTACTTTGCTGGCTTGGGGATGGTAGGTCCAGCACCGACCAGCTTCCCCCATCAGGACCTGCTACCCTCCAAGACACCCGGAAACCTTGCACCAGCTGGACTGGGCCGTCTACCTATGGGAGACAGGACAGAGGATGCCAGAGGAGGGGCTGGAGCCAACAAGTCCTCCTGTCCCAGCCCCTCCTCCTCTCACCTGTCTTCCCCAGCCATGCAGCTCGCACACTCCCATACACGTTCTCCTATGTCCCCCATCATCATGCCTGCCCTTACGCTCATCCCTGGGCCACACTCACGGTCCAGGACACCTGCAGAGTCCGGGGCCCAAGGACCACGGGCTCCTCCAGACGCACAGCCACTTCTGCCAGTCCCTGCTGGCCTCTCCATGGGTCCTCCACTGGCCTGGATGGGCTGCTGTCTGTTGACCAAACAGCCCACTCAGCACGGGCCTCTGGGATGGGGAGTCAGGACCAAGGGCATGTGTATGTCCCACCCCTGCCCTGCCCCACAAACCACTACTTAATACTTTGGAGCCCATCCCAGGGTCAGGAGAGGGCTGGTCAGGGGAAGTTTCCAGAGGTGGGCCAGGGTATCCAGCTTTCTGCATATATTTGTTGTGTTATCAGTTGCTAACTTGTGTCCAACTCTTTGAGACCCCACAGACTGCAGCAGGCCAGGCTTCCTTGTCCTTCACTATCTCCCAGAGTTAGTGCTCAGATTCCTGTCCACTCTGTTGGTGATGCTATCTAACCATCTCATCCTCTGCCACCCTCTTCTCCTTTTGCCTTCAATCTTTCCCAGCATCAGGGCCCTTTCCAATGAGTCAGTTCTTTGCAGATTTATGTGGTTTTTCTTTTTTTCTTTGCCTCAATGCATGGCATGCAGAATATTGGTTCCCTGAACATGGGTTGAACCTGTGCTCCCTGCAGTGGAAGGAAGCATGGAGTCCTAACCACTGGGCCGCCTGGGGATTCCTTATATGCATCTTTAAAGGCCTTGTTCCTCATCTCTTACATGAAGATGTCCCTCCAAGTTTCCTTCTAGTCCTGTTAGCTATAAGTAAAGGATCAGAAGGGAGGAGTTACCAAGATGACTGAATCAATCTCTCTCCTCTTCTCTTGTTCCCTCAGTGAAAGGGAAGCATGACTTCCTATTCCAGGCCCAGCCACCAGGACAGAAGCTGGAACCAGGTAGGTGCCATGACTTGTGGGCAGAGGGTGCTCTGAGGCATTGCATGCCATACCTGTGATCCAGAGATCCGGGCCTTACTCACCCTGGGTGCGGACAGGCTCAGAGACGGGGCTGGGCTCACTGAGGCCCCAGGCTCCCACAGCCCGCACCAGGAAGAGGTAGATGGTACTGGGCTGCAGACCGCTGACCGTGTGTGTCTCCAGCTGCACGCCATCCGCCACGGTCCGCCACGTGTTACCAGCGGCTTGGCTACAAGAATGAGGTGACAGGGCCATGCCAGCCCAAGCTGTCTATTCCCTCTCATCCCTCTCTCTCACCCCCCTCTAACTGCTCCTCAGCTGGGGAGACAGAACTGGTAAACCTCTTCCCACCACAGCCAAGACTTTGAGGACGCAGGGGTGCCTCCGGGTAGTTTTCCAAGTTTGCATGGGAAACTTCCTCCGTACCTGAAGGCCTCTATCACATACGAGGTGACTGTGGCCCCAGCTTGTGGGTTGGGCTTCCAGGTCAGAGTAATGCTGTTCTTGGTGATTTCAGTGACCACAGGCTGCGAGGGAGGTCCCGGAGGTGTACTGGGTTCTGTAGGGGGGTCTGGTGTTGCTCCCCAGTCTTCTGCAGTGAGGAGATAATCTTTGAGTAGAAGGATGGGGAAAAGATGGCCCCGATGTAATCATCCTCCTTCCCAGAGGAGCCTTGTGAGTGGTGACGCAGGAGCGGGGGACAGAGTGAACTGACCCTGCTCACAGCTGCTCCCACGTATACCACTTCTGTCCTCTTCCCCACCCCCACAGCCACAGCCATGGCCTTTGGAAGATAAAACCAGTTCTGGGATTTGGTGGGGAGGTATTGACCACCTTTGAGGCCAATTTGGAGAAGAGTGCTGGCAAAAAACGAGATAACAAAGGAAAAACTCACCCCGCCTCCTAAGCCAGCCACTCCAGGCGGCCTCCCCCGTGGAGCTCTTGGCCACACAGCTATAGAATCCCATGTGCCCCTCCTGCAGGAGAGGGTGGAGGAACTGGCACCCTGGGAGTGAGCAGGGCAGGGCGAAGGGTGGGGGTGGGTGTATAGGAGGATGGGGAGGATGCTGTCCCACCACAGACCAGTGCCAAAATGGAAGACAATTTTTCCATGAATAGGAGGGTAGTTTGGGGATGATTCTCATAAGGAGCACACCACCTAGATCCCTCCTATGTGCAGTTCACAGTAGGGTTTACACTCCTGTGAGAATCTAATGCCAGCCACTGCTGATCTGATAGGAGGCAGAGCTCAGGCGGTTATGTAAGCAATAAGGATCGGCTGTAAATACAGGTGAAGCTTCACTTGCTCACCTGCTGCTCACCTCCTGCTGTGTGGCCTGGTTCCTAAGAGGCCCGGACCAGTACCGGTCCATAGCCTGGGGATCGGGGACCCCTGCTCTAGGTGGTCTGAGAGCAGAGGGGCAGAGATGGAGTGCAAGTCACAGCAGGCACTAGAGTGGGGCACACGGACCACACGGCCGTTCTCAGTTACTTGGGCTCCAGAAGTGAGACTAACCTGCACGCTGGCGATGTACAGGGTACCATTGGCCATTACACTGAGTTGGACTTCATCCCCTTGCAGCCACTGCCCATCCTTCTTCCACTGGACACTAGGCTGGGGATTCCCACTCACTCTGCATGGCAGCCACACGGAGGAGCCCAGTGCCAGCGTCTGGTTGGCTGGTCCCTGGAGGATGATGGGAGGCAGTCCTTCCAGGGAAGCTGAGAGAGGAAGAACTTGGGCGTCTCAGGGGAGGGTCCTGGGTTCAGGCAACCAGCCCCTTGTCCTCGTGTCTACCCCTTCACTTCCCTTCCCCTGGATATCAGAGGGGCTTCCATAATCATGTGTTGTCTCTGCCTGGGATCAGCCATCCATTAGTGGCTTCTCTACCTGATTCCCAAACTTCACGGACATGTGCCAGGAACATGCACTCTTAGAGGATAGTTTTAAGGATTAAATCAAGTAATTACCTGAAACTCCTTCAATAGATTGAGTGAGAAATATTAAGTATGTTCTGCTTCTTTCAAGTTCTAACATTTTACCTTAGATGCACAGAAGGTAGGGAAGCAGGTTTGGGTTTCAGGAAAAACGACACCACGCTGAGCCTCTGACTGATACCTATTCCCACCCTCTATTATCATCAGCATTTTAAAAATATTTATGTATGTGGCTGCACTGGGTCTTAGTTGCACCGGGTCTTTGTTGCAGTATGTGGGATCTTTAGTTGGGGCATGCGAACTCAGTGGAGGCACATGGGATCTAGTTCCCTGACCAGGCATCAAACCCAGACCCCCCCACCCCCGGCATTAGGAGCACGGAGTCTTAGCCACTGGACCACATGGGAGGTCCCTATTATCAGCATTTTCACTCACCTAAGAATATAATTAAAATTGTAGCAGTTTGCAGTGCTAGAAAAGATATTGAAAAATTGGGGCTGTGGATATGCAGTGAGGTGGTGGTGACCTGGTTTCCTAGTGGGGTGGGTTTAATCAGACTTAAATTTTGTTTTATGGGCTTCCCTGGTAGCTCAGCTGGTAAAGAATAAGCCTGCAANTGAGGTGGTGGTGACCTGGTTTCCTAGTGGGGTGGGTTTAATCAGACTTAAATTTTGTTTTATGGGCTTCCCTGGTAGCTCAGCTGGTAAAGAATCAGCCTGCAATGAGGGAGACCCCAGGTCGATTTTGTTTTATGCTGAGTTCCATACCAAAGCCACTCAGGGTAGAGACAGGCTCATCTCAGAATTCTTGAGATATGTCTGTGAAGGTTAAAGCGAGGTGACTGTGAGCTCCCCCTGCTGGAAGTCTTTGGTAAGTAGGTGAGCCTGTCACGTTCTACCCTGGGCAGCTTTGGTATGGAACCTCCTTTCCAGAGCAGGATATTAAAGTCCAGGCCCAGGCGTGGGGAGGAGGAAGGACCTAATTGGATCAGCTACATCCTCAGCATATGCGTGTGTGCTGAGTCGCTCAGTCGTGTCTGACTCTTTGCGACCCCATGGACTGTAGCCCGCCAGGCTCCTCTGTCCATGGGGATTCTCCAGGCAAAAATACTGGAATGGGTAGCCATCCCCTTCTCCAGGGGAATCTTCCCGACCCAGGGATCGAACCCCAGTCTCTTATATCTCCTGCACTGGCGCGGGTTCTTTACCACAAGTGCCACCCAGAAAGCCCACATCCTCTGGCTAGCCTTGTCCAAAACAGAAAGATTCTCCAAGGAATTCCCATATAGGACTGTTCCCTGCCACCTAACTATATTCTCCTTTGTTCCAGGCCTTTTATATTCATTTTCTTATTTAATCCTCCCAAATAACCTGCACGGGTTTCTGGGAGGAAGGGTAAGACCGAAGCCCAGAGAGAAGTTTGCAGAATGTGAGAGGAGGGAGGCTGAGACCCAGAGGAGCTGCGGACAGGCCCTGGGAGCTGGCCACCTACTTGACTTCCCTCCTTCTGCCAGAAGATGGCAGGCGGCGGGTTTCCTTTGGTCTCGCACCGGAAAGCCACGCTGTCTCCAGGAGCCACCATCTGGTCCTGGGGTTGGGTCACCAGCTGGGGTGGGACTGGGAAGGGAGGGAGATAAAGGAACAGGGAGTCAGGGGCACTAAGAAGGGAGGCGGAGGGAACAGGAGAGGGAGGCCTGAGCTCAGCTTAGGCAGGACCAGATGTCTGTCTCCTGCTCAAGCCTGTTTAGCTTTCTCCTCCTTCCTCTCCTCCTAGAAGTTTCAGGGTGTGTGTGCTTAGTCATGTCCAACTCTTGGCGACCCCAGGGGCTGCAGCCCGCCAGGCTCCTCAGTCCATGGGGATTCTCCAGGCAAAAATACTGGAGTCCCTGGGGACCCACACATATCTCCTGCTCTGTCCTTTCTCCGCATTCTCCACCTCCACCCATCCTCCATCTGCCCCTGTCCCATGCCTGCCAAGGCCGGCCAGGGTGGTGGGGGCGCTCACCGTGAACGATGAGGGAGCCGGATGCTTCAGCGCGGCCCACACTGTTCTCCGCCACACAAGTGTATGTCCCCTCGTCTTCAGCGCTCACATGCCCGATCCGAAGGCTATGGTCGCTCTGGATCTCGTACCTGCTCCCCTCCCCACCCCCAGGCTGGGTTGGCCACAACTACAGACCCCTTCTCACATCCCCCAGGACGGACACCAGAATCGGGGTACATAAGGACAAGGTAGACCTCTGCAGGGACAGAAGCTGGTACTCATGGACCCATGAATGGAGGTAGGGACTGGTTGCGGCAGGGCCACAGGCTCTGGGAACAGACCACATGGTCCAGTGAGAGGCATCTACCTTCTTTTTCTTTTTCCAGTTTTCTAGGGCTGGGTATGTTCTTGAGCTGATTGGGTCTCCTTAAAGGCAGTAGGAGGGGGCTTCTCACCTGCCTGTGGGCAGTTCCCCATCCTCCTTGCGCCAGCGCAGACGAGGAGGGGGATCCCCTTGCACCTCACACGGGAAGTCCACGGGGGCACCAGCCAGGACCACCTGATTGACTGGTCTACGCAGGAAGGAGGGACGCTCTGTAGAGGGATAGGGGGAATGAAGAGTCCATGGGTCTGCACAGCTACTCACTCCCCGGGCTGCCCACTCTCGTAACTCCCAACCTGCACAAGCCTACCCAGGACCACAAGTTTGGCTGCCCCACTCTCCCGTTCTCCTGCCATGTTGGAGGCCACGCACACATACATCCCTGCATCGCTCTTGAAAGTATGTGACATCATCAGCTTCCCTCCACGGATCTGCAGAGTAATCAGGGAGAATTTGGTCCTTTATAGCCATGAAAGCACACTTGTTTATTTGATCCTCGCAGCAAGCCAATGAAAAAGACCAGTGAAGTTGACCCACTTGTAGTAGTCGCTCTTTGTGACCCCATGGAGCCTGCCAGGCTCCTCTGTCCATAGGATTCTCCAGGCAAGAATACTGGAGTGGTTGCCATGCAACCCACTGGAGGATCTCCAGGGGATCCTCCTGACTTAGGGATTGAACCTGGGTCTCCTGCACTGCAGGCAAATTCTTTACCATCTGAGCCACCAGGGAAGCCCTCTTAAGGAATCCTTAAGTGATTTGCCCAAGGTAGGGCTCAGGTGTATCTTTGCTCCCGTAGCCCAGACCACCTCCCACCAGTCCATGGGGCATCATACCCCCACCTTCTTACACCAATTCCATCCTACCCATGCTGATTTATCCCCCACTCAGTAGCTGACTCTCAGCCTCTTGTCAGCTAATGCCCCAATTTAAAATCTATTACTGCTTCCAGGACATCCCCCCCCCCCAACCCTTCCAAGACCTTTAGATTCAGACCTTCCTCCTTTGACACTTGTCCCAGACCTCTAGCCTAGAGGCCTGACCTTCAGGATGTTCCTGGTCAGGACCTGGCTCCCAGTGAGATCCCCAGCCCTGGTCTCACCCCTCACCGTGATCCTCCCCTCCTCCTCCTTGAGTCTAACACCATCCTTCTTCCAGGACACCGAAGGCTCTGGGTGGCCACGGGGGGGCACGCATTCCATTACGGCTGGCTCCCCCACTGCCACCACCGCATTCCCAGGAGACTGCCGGAAATCATCTCGGAGGACTGGAGAGAGGAAGAAAGAGAGAAAGCCAGAATGAATGACCAGAGGAATAAATAGGGTGTGGGGTGACATAACTGGGTGAGGACCCAGGAAAGTGTTTGGGGGAAGAGCTGGATCACCACCGCAGGCCGGAACTCTTCTCCGGCTGCGACAAGACCAGGCCCGCTTCCTCCTCTGACACCCTCTCTGGATAAGGTGGAGTTTCTCCTTCGAGGCATCTGCCCCGCATGTTCTTAGGCAGGAAAGGAGATGCCTGCGAACAGGGATCAGGAGAGGACGCAAGTCCTAGGAAGGCTGAAGACCCCGGCCTCCTCTCCTGCTAAGTTCAAGTGCAAAGTGACTGGATCACAGCTTGGCAAGTAGACCACGACTCTAGTCGACTGGTTTTCAGTCCCCCAGCCAAGCTGGTTCGTAGATCATCCCTGACCTGTGAAGAGCTGACACTTGGTTGTCCACTGAAATGGAGAGACTGAGGCCCTGTCTGGGGATCTCCTTAGGAAAGGGAGGAAGCGAATGATGGGCTGTGGCCTGGTACTGGAAGGGGCCCTCAACCTGGATTCTGTAACTGGGCACAGTGCCCTTCTCACAGACACCCCCTGATAACCACGTTTCCTGGTCTTTTTAAGTCACAAGAATTGAACGCAAATGAGGACGGAAAAGTGAGTAACGCTCCTTTTCTGAGAAGGCATAGTTTTCAAACAGATTATTCTACAGGTGGATGTAGCCAAGAGAGACTAAGAATCCTCTAATTTTTCTTGGTCATTCAGATTCGTTCACCCGCATGTCTGCTCCTGCCCCTCACTTGGTCTACAGACTTCGGCTCGCTTTTCATCTTCAGTTTGGGACCCAGGATCCAGGAGCTGGTTGAGCTCAGATACGCCACCCCCAGCTTCGTCAAAAATGGATTTGTAACCCGCAGTTGCCAGTAGGCGTCGCTGCCGCCTCGCCTAACCTGGTGTCCTTAACTAACCAAGGACCACTCCACAATTCGATTCTCTGCCTTCCCGCCCATCCCCACCCTGGCCCTGTTCCAAAACCCACGGGGACCTCTAGCTTCCAGTCACTGATTGGTACTGAGTTTCATTTTCAGCACCGGCTCTCAGAAGTTCTTGAGACAAAGCTGCACGGTTTGCCCCCAGCCTGGTGCTATCCTGGGGAGAGTGTATTTAACTGGTTTGGGACAAGAAGATCAGTTTCCCTCCCACTTAGGGAAGGAAGAAATTTTTTCTTGATTTCCTTCATCCTAGATGGAAATCTCTGTTTCTCACTCGTCTCTTCTCCTCTATCCCATTCCAGTCCCCATTCAGGCAGACCAGACCCTTGATGGGCAACCCTGTGGTGGTTAATGCTCAAGAAATGTTATGGAGCTGACCAGGGCTGCAATCTCAGATGCCAACACTTCCTAGCTGTAAGAACTAGGGCAAATTATGAACTTCTCTGGGTCGAAGTTTCTTTACCTGTATGTGGGAGTTGTGATGGGTTGTCATAAGACCATGGTGTATGTAAAGAACTTGGGAGAAGGCGCCATGAATATGGCTAATCTATCATAGTTAAGGGCTCTTTCTCCCTTGCCCACCTTACCTTATCTTGATCTCTACAGTTTCCACCCGAATCAGACTTTTCCAGGCTCCAATATTCCCTTTCCGCCCTTCACATAACCTCGGGTGTAATGGGAATTGGTTATTGTCAAACTTTACACTGCTTTTGTGACTACTGGGATATTATTCATCCTTTCTCAGTTTGTTTCCTCAGTCGCAAAATGTGACCATCAACGCACCTCCTTACATTTTCGAGTTTAAAGGAGGCAATGTGTGGCGACAACACTCTATAAGAGCGCTGAGGGAGCAGAGAGGTTTCCAAAGTGTCTGTGGGGAGGGTGCTGTGCTTAATCCCCCTAGGAACCTAGGAGGGTCAAGAGACTGGGGAATCCCAGATCATTCCCCAATTTCTTCCTCCGGGCTCCCTCCATACATACCACGCCCTTCTCGTCGGCTCTTTCCCCTTAATTCCTGTAGACACAGCTGCGGGCGCCCTTTCTCTGGAATTTCTTCCCTGTCATTCCCGGTCTCAGGAGATGCTTCGCAGCAGCTAATGAATAGCTAATGGCCATGCTAATGGGGCTCTGGGGCTCCTCCCCCAGCACCTGGAACACCCCGCTCACAAACACACTCTTGGCCCGGTCTTCTTTCTAGCCACCTTGCAGTCCCCAGCACGGTGCTGATAGATTGGGGTGGGTAGAGGCAGAGGGATGGAGGCTGAGACCTCCAAAGAGGGATCAACGGCAAAGGTGTTCAGGAAAGCGCGAGTTTCCGATGTGGCCGGCAGGGGCGCCATCGGGCTCTCTCCAAGCCCCCGGCGGTCCCCTCTCGCCGCTGCCCCGCCGCGCTCCAGGATAGCGCGCTGTCTCAGTCATTTATTAATCACCGTAATTAGAGGTAATGACCTCCCCGCCGGCGCTGCCCGCCTGCCGCAGCTCTGCCGGGGTGGGCCTGCAGTGAGTTCTACCTCTGAGGGGCAAACTTGTAAGTTTCCCTGAAGCGGTCGCCGCCGCTGTCGTCTTCTGTAGCAAACACATTAAACATTTTGGCGTCACCAGCCTCGTCCTAAGTGAGTTCTTGGAAAACTTAGGCTCCCAAAGGGAAACCTGCGGCCTGGGTGGGTCACCGAGTGGCCCGGCTTGGCCCAGGCCCTCGGGTGACCGCGCCCCCTCCTCTACCCTCGGCGCAGTGGGTCCGGGCCTCCCATACTCCGGTTCTTCTCACCTGGGGTGGCCGTGGGCGTCGGTTGGGGAGGTGAGAAGTGGGGGACTCCGTAGCCATCTCCTCCCAAACCCTCGACCTCCCGACGATATCATCACTAAGATGTGTTAAGACCCAAACTACCCATTGGTTCCCACCAACCGGGAGGCGCTGGGAAGCGCTGGAGAGCGCCGCTTGGTTCCGGACCTTAAGGCAGGAGCGCTTTGGACTTCCCCGTCCGCGCCTCCTTCGCACCTTACACCCATCCCTGGATCTGAAGTCTCCGTGGGGCAGGGTCTTACCGTTGAGAGAAGGATCTCCGGGGGGCAGCAGGCTGTGGTTGAGCGCCGCCACTGAGGAGTTGAAGCCGAAGAGCAGGTCGCTGGAGTTGGAGATGTCCCCGCCCAAGGAGTCCGCGAACAAGTTCATCTGCAGCAGCGTTTTGAGCAGGTAGCGCAGCATGGCGCGACCAGGTGGGGACCGGGGCTGGGGGCTCGGGGCCCAGCCCCTGGGTCTAAGACCCGCGGGCCGGGAGCCGTAAGCCCCTCCACAGCCTCTACGCGCTGCCCCAGCCACGGTGCCGCTCTCCTGCCGGCGCGCCTGGGTACCGTGCGTGCCTCCGCGCGCCCTTCCTCCTTCCTTCTCTCTCCACCCCCCAGAGCCGGGGTCCCCTGGGAGCCGGGCGGGCAGAAAGCAGGTGCCACGCCGATCACCGCGTAATTAAGGGATTAATCCGCCTCTCTCCGCCCTCCCACCCCCATCCCGACGGCCACTAGCAGGGCCAGAGACTACAGTCGCCTAGCGCGCGAGTTGGAGTCCCCGCCCCGCGGCCTGCGCCCGGCTCCAGGCGTCCCGCGTCGGTTCTGGGCACCGCAGGAGAGTTTCTCTCCTTTCTCAAAGCATCCAAGATGAGGGATGAGACTCTCGGAGTCTGCCCCTCTGCCTGACTTCAACGGAGGAGACCCTTCTCTCTGTTCCCAACCCTTAGGAAACTGAGGCAGCCCTAGATCGCTCCGCTAACTCTCCAAGTTGTGACTGCCACTTCCTCCCAAATCCCTGGGTTTTGCGGCGGGAGTGCGGGCGGCTGGGTGGTTTGGGGCGGGAGTTGGGGCTGGGTGGAGAGTAACTCCGCGGCGCGTCCACCGCTTTGCCCAGCAGTCGCTGCTTTGTAGCCTAGAGACCCCGAGATGAGGCGGTGCGTCTTGACCCCGGAATCCTTACCCCAGACCTCTTAATCTCGTGGTTCTTGCAGGATACTCCACCGGGATAAAACCGGAGGGGAAAGCCCAAGGAAACCCAGGAGCAGCTCACATCCATTTGCATGCTTTTGCATTGCTCTGTTCTGACTTATTTTATGCTCTGACTTAAGTTGTTTTACTTTTTGGAGGAGACTGAAGGGGAACTAGGGTGTCGGGGCTAAGACAGAGATCAATATTGTGTTTGTAAAGGCAAGTGCAAGAGAAGAGATGGGGTTGATGGAGAACTCGCAGGAATCTGTTCAAACTTAATAACGATCCTCCTTGGTGGGAAGGGGGTCACAACAATTCCCACCCACCCCCACACACACACCCACTTCCAGCATGCTTCTGACTTTCCTGGAGTTCTTAATACCTGAAGACCTCCAAGTCATACCTACCTACCTACATACACAGACACAGTTTCCTAGGCTGTAGGTGGTCTTGGGATGTCAGGGGAAGAGAGACCAGAGGCATTCTATTAGCTAATATCTGAGCTAAGGCCCTGCTGATGGTGGGGTTCCAGTTCAGTCAGAGGGCTCTGTGATGAGATCAGCTTTGGGGTGGCTGCTTTCCAAGTGGGAGGAGGCAGGGGAACAGGTCAAGATCATGAGGGGGATGAGTACCACACAGAGGTAGGCTCCAGACTAAGGTAAATCGAGTTGAGTATTTCAAGCAGACAGCTCTCAAGTGAACCAGAGACTTGGTCAAGGGGTGAGAGCTTGTCCCAAAACACCTCCCTCAATCCTCAGGGCAAATGAACGAATGTTTGGGTGTCTTCCTATCGCAGCCCCCTGCCTCTCCCCCAGCTCTGCCCCAAGCAGAGGTACAGAGGTGGGGGATGGGGGAGAGAAGGACACCCCCCCATCCCCGCCACTTGGAGGCTGCACCCTGGGAACTGTTCTTTCAGCACCCCATCTGCCCTTGCTGGACTACGGATCTGGGGCCCCCCATATGACTTAAATCCGAGCCGACCTTGAGGTGGGGTAGGTGGGAGAGGGGCTGGTGACACATTCATTCTAAAGCACTGGATACTAAGAGACAGGATCCGGTCCTTGATCCAGGGCGAAGTTGCACTCAGATAAGATCTGCCCTTGCTGGACTACGGATCTGGGGCCCCCCATATGACTTAAATCCGAGTCGACCTTGAGGTGGGGTAGGTGGGAGAGGGGCTGG